AATGAAATAACAGCTAATTATGAATTATGGTTGACTCCAAAAAAAAAGGAGGTGTGGATGAAGAAAAATAAATTTTTTGACTTTTTGATGAATTTGTAACACAAGGTCATAAAGAGTCAATTTTTCAGGTAAATCCTTCGACGATGGTGGCTATTTTAGATACTTTTTATATCAAATTAATATAAAAAAAAAAACTTGAAAAGGACATGAATTATTGAAATAGGAAGGAAACATGTCGATCGTGGACTGAATTTAATCGCATAACAATGAAATCAGGGAACTACACAAAATGTCAAATAAATTATAAATAAAAAATTGTAACGAGTGGACAATAGAGAACTTTATGAACATTTTTTGTTGCATACATCCTTTCATGATTGGGATGAGTAAGAAATCAATTGCTATTTTGTAAATTAAAGCGCATTTAAGTGATTTTGATTGTTCTGCTTTAGTTTTGGAAGTTATTTTGGTGATTCTGATGAATACTTAAGTTTCTTCAAGAATAAATTTTTCGTTTTTTAAGGAATGGGTTCTGGAGCATAAACAGACATCATATGAACTTTGTTCAAAAGGCAGAAAAATTCAGTTTTGTATTAACTTCATTTTTAAGCTGTCTTTGGATGATTTGACACTCAACTTCGTCCTTAGCTACACCTTGAGGATCCCTCGCATTCGATTTCATCTATTATGTGTAATTAGCTTCCAAAAGTTTCCTGACAATCAGTCATTTTCAGCTCACATTCACTTCTAATTCTCAAAATACAGCAAAAATCATGAAATGATCCTTGAAATTTGATTGGAATCGACCTTTTTCTCCTTCCTGACTCGTCCAACTTTCAATGATTTAATGAAGAATTATTTTCAATTAAATGCTTCAAAAGGAATAAAAATTGTAACAATTCAGGTAGTGAATTGTGAAATAAATTTTATCATATTTATTATAGAAAAAAAAAATGCACAAAGAATTTGGAGCACGACGAACTCAAGAGAAATAAACTTTGCTTTTTTTTTGTATGTGGGAAGAATTCAATTCTCCTTTCAATTGTGAGTTATAAGAAAAATTACACAATGGCATGGCTTAATAAGCAAGAAAAAAAAGAGAGTCAGAGAACAAAAAAAAATTGTTTCTTGAATAAATAAAAGAAATGAAATTTTTCAAACGAGAATTTCTAGTGAACAAAATAAGCTACTGGAATTGAATTGAATTTTTTTTTTCTTCTTTCATAGAATGCAATATTTATTGAAGAATTTTTGAGTTGTTGATGGTTGAATATTTTTCTTATGTCATTCAGTTATTTACAATTGAACTTGATGAAGGCTTATTTACCTACAATTTGTTTGTAATTGGCAATAAAAATGTCGAAAATAATTGTTTGGGAGGAATGCAAGGACATGAGGATTAAAATTACTTATTTTGTGAATTCTGTTGGTATGATCTGTACTTAAGATCTCAGAATTTGAGATCGTTGAATGAAATACTTCGCAGAATTTTCGGTCAATTATTTGCATATGGGGTCATTCTTTTAATCTTTTAAAGTATTTTTGTGAATTTCTGATGGTTTGATCCCAACAGACTCTTAGTATTAAGACAAAAATACGATCAAGCACATTTAGTCGATAGATTTTTAAAATTTATAAAATGGAATGTAACAGGCTGTTGTAATTTTAAAGGAGATTTTGATGTATTAAGCTACCACTTTATCAGTACTAATAGTTTCTAAATGGTTAAGCAACATTGAAACCAAGAAAATGCTTAATCCCCAACTTTTGTGATTTGGTAGGTTCGATTTTTAAATTAAATTGATTCTAAAATCATTTAAAAGATTGCTGTCGATACCAAATGATTGTGTTTAATGCTACAAAATTATAAAGAATTCCATTTAATGTTGTTTAGCCATCTTTGAATGACATCCATCTTCAAACTTAAACTATGCAAAATTCACAACTTTAAAAATGCTTCAATTCTCACCAAAAGACATATTATGACATCATTCAAACATAAACTTACACACAAACCCCTTTCACCTGACATTTCAGCTCCCAAAAAAATCTTAATTGCTAAATTCCCAAGCACCTAATCCCTAACTCAGGCTTCAAAAAGATTTTTGCTGCCAAAAATAGAACTCACGAAAAATCGATCAAAATTCCTGCAAACCTTGACTAGCTGTTTCGTTTTCTCAGGTAAATATTAAGAGCAGTAGCACCATGGCAGATTATAGATCAAAATATTGGTTTCATTTGTCGAAAGAAGAAGAAGAAGGAGGAAAAGAAATCTTGTTTGCATTCTCAATTTTTGTTGTTTTTTCTTTCTTGTAGTTTCATGCTAAATTTGTAAATTCATTGTTATTGGCATGATAATGATTCCTTTCTTTGTATTTGCTATATTGATCCTTTTTTTTTTTTGCTTATGGCAAATGAAATGTCAGATGAGAAGCAGAGCGCATACATTAAAAGTTTTGAATGCAAAACAAAAATCCCTGCAAATAAATCCTCAAAAAATAACAAAAGGCTTCAGGAGCTCAAACGGCCACCTTGTGGCTCTCTTTCTCTTTATACATCATTCTATGTTATGCACTGATATTTAGTTGTTAATGCTGATCTCCCCCCAACAGGCAATATTTCAATCATCATTAAAAATAATTATGTGGTCATCACTTTTTAAATTTACCATAAAAAAACTTTTTCTTTTTGAAGTTTGCAGCACTTGAAAGAGATTGTTGATAGTTGTGATGGAGATAAGGATTTGATGGGCGGAATAAGATTTGGATTGAATGTGTTGGATTGTTAGGGGATTTTAAAGGTAGGATTGATAGCTATCGACTTGAGAGTTTTGATGACTTTAAAATGATTTTTGGATGACTTTTCAATTTAAAAAAAGCTAGAAAGTTATAAAACTAGCAACGTTACTTTTAAATCGAGATTTTGTAAAGAAGTAAAGTTTAAGGAGGTCTTGTTTTAATAAAATCGCAATCAACAAACAAGAACTTCCAAAATTGATATCGAATAGAATTAATAATGCAAAAAAATTGACAAATTTCAGTTCAATAATTTTAAAATTAGCCAAAATCTTAATAAACTTTTAATAATTCTAACTTATAACTTCATCCATATCCACAGACTTAACTACATCTACCATCCAAATTAAAACCGACAGAAACATGCAACATCTTCAATATAAACTCAAAATTTATAAGACCAAATAAAAGCTGTTTATTTTATGCTTTAATTCATTTTAATCTGAAAATATTTAAAGGCAACTTGCATGTGTTTATATTAAATAAGTTGACTTTTGGTCATTTTTTGAATATTCTTTTCTACCTGAATATTGATTGAGAATTTAATTGGCTTGTTAAGGGACATTTTTCAATGACTTAATTGAGTTCTGAATAAAGGAGTCGTAAAGTAGAGGATTTTAAAATTTTTAATTACATACAACATGTTTTTGATTGTGAATTTTGGGTTTGGGTAAAGTTTGAGAGATTTTAGAATTTTTCTATGCAAAATATTTCATTTATAAAAAATCAAAATTAACTTTTTAAAAAAGATTTTAACAAAATTGAAAATAATGCAAAAACTTAATATTGTCCTTAACATATGATTTTTGCCTTAATAATGTCTATAATGCACTAAACATTACGTTATCCCGCCGGATTCTTAATATTCTTTCATAATATTCAAAAAACCAAAAAAAAAAACATTTTTTCAAAATTTAATTTTCCAAAATACACATCAACAATCCAACAAAAATTCACAAATAATACAGTAACCACCCCGCATCCATCCATAAATGAAATAAAAATCAAGCACATCTGTCTGACTTGATAATTATCGATTTTCATTTCCATACGAAATTCTAATTTAAAATAATTTTACAAACAAGCCAAAATTATGTGGAATTTTGTATTTTCATAACCGCATTTCATAATTCCATAGAATGTCATTCACATGATGTTCATTAAGGATATTAGAGCATAAAATCACTAATTAATTAGCAACTGAATTTTCCAAGAAATTAAATCAAGTCAAAAATCCTCCAAAACAATATAAATATTAGCCAAGCATAAACATCCCCTGACAGCCTCTCAGCAAAATTTTGATCCTCACAGAAGTAATTAATTGAAATTGGTTTCCAAAAAAAAAATTAAATGTCTGTGGACGAGAATAACGCACAAGCACAAGCTTTTAATTTCAATTCTTAATTACATTAATGCGTCATGTTGAACAGCAACAATTTTTTTGTATTGAGGCTTTTTTTGCCATGCACAAAAAAAAATGAGTCCTGAAATTTTTATTATTTCTGTTGCTTTAATTTTGTAAACGTTTCTTTTTTCTTATTCCCTTGGCACTTCTCCATCTCACTCTCATTTCAAGTCACTCACTGTGAGTCTACATCTGTGTTGGTATAAAGCAGCAATAAAGAAGAAAATACAAAAAAAGTAGGTTTGAATTTCAAGCATAAAAAAGAAGACGACGAAATAAAAAAGTATCAAGAATGACTGAATGAACTAGACACACACAACAAACAGGCTGAATGGGCGTGAAAGAGACGACACTATTGAGTGCGCAGTGCAATGAACAAATGAGGGAAGAGAAGCCAATCCCATTCACATATTCACTAATACAATCACACTTTTATTGAATACACACCCAAGCATACATTTAAACGTATCAACGAACCATTGAGGGTCATTCGTCGGATGGGAATATTGTTACGTGTTGTGTGTTTGGTTTAGTCGTTCCATTTGTTTCATCACGTCAAGTTCGTTTGCCACTGTGCTCGCACATACGAAAATATATATTGAGAAGAAAAAAAAAAGTTTTTTTGCTTATTTTAAATTTTTTCGAGGAAAAGAAAAGAAAAACAAAAATTCGGAAAGAAAAAAAAATATTTTTTATTTTGTTTTGTTTGTCAAAAAAAAGAATAATATCGTGGACATCCATTAATGGAATAACAATGAAAATTTCTATGGAATAAAGTACGAAAAAAAATTGTGAATTTTGAAAATTGTGCGCGTGTGGATTGTAAACATAAAAATTATCAAGCTGCCAAAATAACTCAGCAAAAATAAACCAAAAGTGAATCAAAAAGGATACAAAAAAAGTGAACCAAAATTTAAGGATAATCAATAAGAATTAAAAATTGTACGGATACCAAAACCACAGTGAATATTAACACAAAATAGCGTGGAAGTTAAAAAATTAAAATTATAAAAATAAAATTTGGCAATAGAACACAAATCGCTGCTGGAGTGGAATTGCGGAACTAATAAAAAAAAACACACCAGCAAATTTATCAGAAATCGGTGAGTATTCCTATTATTTGTGGGCTACAAAATCAAGCACATGCAGTGTATAAATTGCCATGAATATGAGAACCGAAAAAATTCAAATTTCACATATTGAGCCGGTTCATGTAGTTGCTAATTGAAATCAAAGATCAATCATATTTCTAATGCGGTGCCAAAGGCACTTTTGTGTAGAATAGAAAGAAGTAAAAAAGAGATAAGATTCAAGTTTTTGAAGCTCAAGAGAAATAAAGAGACAGAATGGAATGTCCAACAAATGATAATAAGATGCGTAGTCCATTATGCCCTTATCTATTTTATGCATAATAATCACGTTGTCTTTTTGTCTGTTGGTTGACGATGCCCGTGCGCCAAAACGTTTCCAATATTTCACAACTATCTTAGTCGTTTCGGTTCCTTTCTTTATCCATCTCACATATATTCCATAAAAATTATTACTTGTCGCTCGATTTAATAGCGATTTTATGGAAATTTTCCCTGAAGAATATATTACCTCAATCGCCAAATGTGGAGCTATTTGATGACTCTCATAATGGATTTTCCATAGCATCTTCGTCTCTCTGAGTCTATCATTAAATGTATTCAATTCTGTTTTTAATCCCTTTTATCATAATTATTGTGGCTCTTATATCGATCGTCGCGAAACGTCCAGTCCAACAATCAAGCATGAATATGAGAGATTAAAATTGTATGTGCGATATTGAATGTCTATAAAAAAAATGTTCAATTGATGTGGGTTGATAATAAAAATATAAAATGCAATTAAGATATTGATGGCTGATAGTGGATATGGTGGGTGAATAAAACGCAGATTTGAGGTTTTAAGGCGGAACTTAGGTGATTTGATTTGAGGCTTGGGTGATGAAATGAAGTTTTTTTGGGAGTAAATTGGTTTTGTGAACTAGATTTTGAGGCTTTGAAGGTAGTTTAAAAAGTTAACGGTTTAGAAATAAAATTTTATTGGTCAAATATTTTCAAAAATTGATAAAAATGAAGTTAAGAAATTATATTCAGAAATTTTTCTATCAATCTTGCAAAATTTGAAGAATAAAATTTGACAAAAGATTTCAATGACTCAATAGAGGCGATACTATTAAAAGTTTTCTTAAATTTTACATTTATTAAAGTTAAAATTATGAAAATTATAGCAAATAAGCAAGTTTGACTAAATATTAATTTAAATTTCTTTGAATATCATTTTAAAATTTTTAAAAAAAAATATATTTCATCCGTCGCATAATACTAAAGTACATATTGAATATCACTAAACAAAGTGTCATTAAATCATCGTCCTTTTTTAAAACCCTACTAGCAACTTAACATCTCCTCAAAACTAGCTTGAATCCTGCAAAATCTAGCAAAAATCCACAAGAATCTTCATGAAAATTTCACCAATAAAAATTAACAATCAAACTGTTTTACAATAATATTTTCCACTCTAATCCGACTCTGCATAAAATCCATTCTTAATATCATCTACATTAACTCACAATAGTAATCAAAAATAATAATAATTTTTAATTTTAATTTCACGCCATTGCCAATCGTCATTTAATTTTCATTAGAAGAGCAAATGAGAAGTTGTAATTAAAATGGCAATAATGCTTTGGTGACAATCATTGTGTAAATTGTGTGAGCCAATAAGTATTTTTTGATTGTTCGATTATGTAAAGCAAGGCAACATGACGAAATAAGTTGAACATTCAAATTTGTTTTTTTTTTTTTTAATTTTCATCGCAATTCACTTAACCTTTTGGCGAATATAGTTTTTTTAATTAACTGTGCATGATTCAAAAATGTATAAAGCTTTTAACAATTTTTGCATAAAAATTGCACATCAAAAAGAACTTTTTAATTGAAATTTATGTTTCCAGACATAAAGGAAATTGATGGTAAATTGAAATTTTATTAAAGTTGTTTAATAATCAATAAAAAATATTATATGTGAAGTGGTTGGATGCAAAATTTTCATAAATCCTCAATTGAGGCGTACTTTTACTTTTTTAATTTGATTACCTCCATTGTTTTTTATGTGACTGTGCAGAAAATGGAATTTTGAAATGTCACTTTGGTTTCAATGAGATTTGTGGAATGTTAACCTTTTGTTTGGTGACATTTGATTGCATATTTTGAGTTTCATGGTTAGGCATGATGATAGTTGATAAATTTTACAATAAGTCATGAAAATTAATTGATTATGTTGGTGCATATAAGCTATTTTATAGGAACAAACTTAAAGTTTTTGGTGCTCATAGTCTTTCTTTATAAAACATTTTTAAGTCATCTTGTTGATTCAACTTAATCATGACACTCAACAATTCACAAGAAAAATTCTTAACTTAATAACACATTCATATCCACCTCATTATAACTTAACATCCGCAAAAATGACCAAAGATCAATTCTTATTCATTCTTATGATATTAATTGAATTAATCAAGCTTTAATTAATAAAGATTCTTTATACAAAAATCATTTGCAAGCATCATGCAAATCAATTTTAATTAAAAACAGCACAACTTTCAATTGTTGCCAATTTTTTAAACACAAAAAAATTTACATTTAAAAATTTATTGATAATCGCAAAAACTGTGTACATTAAATGGACAACTTGGAGAAAAAAAAGAAAGTGAAAAATATAAAAAAAATTATGAACAATTAAGAAACTAATATTCATCTAACCTTTCGAGTCAGTCAGTTAAATGCTTTTTATCTGCGAAAGAAAAATTTCAAAATTCACAAAAAAAGATCTTTTTTAATTTTCGCTTAATTCAAATTAAAAATTCGAATCTTTGCTTCTACAATTAGCGATATATTTTCAGCCGTGTATGCTGTAAAGATCAAAGAAGCAGAGTATAGAGGAACAATAAAAAAGACAATATTGGACCTCAACTTCATTTTTTTATATTTTATTGTTCAACTCAATTCTCTTATTTCGCTTATAAAGCGTTCATAAAGATTAGCAAGAGCGATAATTTTTTAATGGATCACTTTTTTTGGACAGATCTCGTGTATGTGCGACCGATATTACATTTATAATTTTCATTTCATCTGTTACTGTTACTGCCTTGCCACACATTAAAAATTAAATATGAATTTTTTAAAAATAAATTCTGTCAATTAAGGCCGTTTTGAACATGACATTCTTTTAGAAGACCAGCCGCACTATGTTCAATCACACATGAACATCAATTCCACATTTATTCCTTTTTGTGAGATTTGTGTATCTTAACAAATTGATATTAGGCCATAAAATGACATAATAATGTTGTTTCACTCACGGTTCATTTGCTCTCTCGCCTTCTTTTTGCCTCGTCTTGTGGACGGAGAATATTAAAAGAACTGATCGAAGAATTTGGATAAGTTTGAGTATATGACATGGAATTGTCTTTAAGCGCATGCAAGGCTGTTTTGTTTTAATATTAAGATTGTTTGAGGCATTTGAAGAAATTAATGAACTTTTTGACGTGGCTAAAGATGAAGATAGATAAATAGGGTACTAACTTAGGTTGCCACAACTCTTGAAGTACACAATTTAAGAGATTCTTATAAAATCTGCTCTTCAAGCATACAGCTATCCTAACTCAGTCAAAGTGCACCTTTATATCCCCTCAATAATCAAAACTTTCAACTCTCAAAATCCACTCTAACTTGCTTAAAGCAATAAGAAGAATTCTCATCTAATATCGACAATCTCCCCCAATAAACATCTCTCCTCATATTCAATCGTGTCAAAGAAGTCCGCACCAGAACAAAAAAAAATTCAATTTTATTTGATTTTTCATTTTTTTTTTTTATAAAAACGCTAATTTTCGTTGAGTTTTTAAGAGAAAATTTGCATAAACACGCGTTTGCTGATAAGAAAATTGTTTTCTTCTCTTTACGAATCATCAACAAAATAACAGAAAAAAAAATAAAAGTAAGAGAATGAAAAAGGCAAAAAGCACACTTAAGAGATTTCTTTTAGCGGCATATGACGATGATGACAATAATGTAATGTGGATTGAAGAGAGAAGAAATAATAAATGTTTAAATTCACAGATAAGAAAAGAGTTTCTTTTTTTTTCTGTTGACGGGATTCTTTTTTTTATAGATTTTCATTTCTCTTACGAGACGAGCTATTATTATTATTTTGTTTTGGTGGCTCCAAATGAGTGACAATTTTTTACCATCATATTTATCATACTAAAATTGTATAGAGCTTGCGATTTGATGTGGGTGATCAATTTTTTTTTATTAAAATATATAAAAATATTTCAATAATTCTGTTTTTTTTTTTCATTGAGAATTGCTTCGTGTTGAAAGCATTTTTTAGACCGACGCATGATTCAATTTGACAATCGGAGTTATTGTTTATTGGAAATAAAAATGAATTTTTGGTTTGTGGGTTTTGAGAATTGTGAAGTGTAATTTTGAAAAGAATTGTTGCTTTATTGCTGATACCTTGGTCATTTTAGAAGATTTATTGAATAATTTAAATAATCAGAAATTTAAAACAATTTAAATTTTAAGAATCAAAAGAGAAAGAAATTAATAAATTCAACACACAATCACCAAGTCTCCGAGCCCAATACATACAATAATAATTTTATTCAATTCAAAAAAAATTAATTAATTTTTATATTCTGCAACAATCTTGCACCAACATTGTAAAAATAATAAAAACTCATGCATTAAATACTCACACGTATTTTTCTTATCTTGATAATAATTGCGAACATTTTATATTGATGAACATTAAAAACCAAAGCATGTGTAATTAATTTTAAAGTCAGAAGCTGAAAATTATGTAATAATTACTTACATGCAAGACTTTTTTTATTGCCTGACTGTCTGAATAGTTGATATAATATTCAATTGATATTCTTTTGCATGCTTCATGATGGAAAGACTCTGCAAGAATAGAAAATAATTTCGTTGTATGTAAAAACGATGATCCACAACAAGACCATACTTTTACCAAGCTAATAATTCCAATTCAAAGCCTTACCAAGTGT